AATATGATGTTCATGAATTGAGAAATCTCAACAATTAAGAAAACTCATACTATATTCAAAACATTTTCCTCAAATGAATATAATAAGCCAAGATCCATATTTCACTAAAATCCAAGTGAGCTTTGGCTCATCGCCTGAATTTTAGTTATTTAGGTAAGCAACACTTTGCTAATTATATCCAATATAATTCTTGGTTGTCGGATGACATCTTATGTCTTATCCAACCTATGTCTCTAAGCCCAAAACCGTTTTGATAGCCTAGTCAAGTAAACCAATCTTGTTTCATATGGTAACCGTTACCATCCACCTCACTCATGTAATTGCAGACACCTTGCTTTGGCAAGCCCATCATACAACGAAACGAGCCTTGATGGTTGATAAGATTGGATAGACATCAAAAAACTTGAAATTAATTGAGGAACAAATTTTAATTCAATTTTATTTTATATTTACATTTTATATCTAATATAAAATAAATATAACTAATACATATCTTATATGTATTTAAATTGAACTATAAATAATTAAATTAATTTAATCAAATTATATTTATTAATTATTTATATATATAGTTGATCTTTACATAGTTTTAGAAACTAATCATATTAGCATTCCAACTATATAAAATATTCAAACTCGTAACCAGCTGACATAAACTAATTTTCTTCAAACCGGTTAGACAAGGAATGAATCAACCGGTTACGTAATTCGCACTTGCAAATCACATTAGTTGAGAACCAGATTTTACAATAACACATGTTGACTTTATGTATTATGCATAAAAGAATATTTCAAGGTTCACGCAAAAGAGAAACTGTTTCCCCTTTCAATACATACGCGAGATGTATATGTCAAATAAAAGTTATACATGACAAATCATCGACTCTAATTACTTTAATCAGAAAACGAAGACGAAACGGATATAATTTATGTATCGAGACATACATAATATCAGTACAAGACAAAAGCATGATAAAACTAATTGATTACAATAATCATAATGCACGTATAATCCTATTCTGAACATATGCATATTAGTTTTAAGATCATCTCAATGAAAAGCTTAAGTCTTATACGGACGTTTGGATGTTCTAGTTGTTTCAATTTGACATGCCGGTCCTAGTTATAAATCGATATTTATACCGTAATAAACCATAATCAAATTAGGGTTTCTATCAACATACTAACATATCAAAATCAAACAAGATCTAATTTCAGTATTAAACAAGTAAGCTCTGATACCACTGTAGGAATTCATACCGGTTTATAACGATTTATAAAACAACCTATGAATTCTATTTGTCTAGAATCTCATGCAAATACTGAAATTAATCTAGATCTTTAGGGTTATGAATATACCTGGTTATTCGCAGCGGAAAGATGAATAAACCAAATCGAGATTTAGAGCACTCCAATTGTCGTGCCTCTACCGGTATCCACA